CCCCATCTCCTGATGCTTTTGAGAAACAACGAGGATGCTGAGCAAGCGCTGTCAGCACTACTGACGCTCCTTACCGAGCAAACAAGGGCTAACATCATTTTACCCAACCTGATCCCGACCCTGATCACTTCGCCCATCTCTGCCTTTAATGCTAGGGCAATCGCTTCCTTGGCTGAGGTGGCAGGTTCGGCCTTGACGCGCAGATTACCCGCGATTCTCAACTCCTTGATGGACAACATTCTTTCCACTACGGACGAGGAGCATCGGGAAGAACTGAACAGCGCCTTCGATGCCGTCTTGGTATCTGTGGATGAGTTCGATGGTCTGAATGTCGTGATGAACGTCATGATGACTCTTCTGAAACACGATGACCACAGACGCCGCGCCAGCGCTGCGCTCCATCTTAACAAGTTCTTCTCTGAAGCCGAGATCGACTACTCTAGATACTACCAGGATCTGATTCGCGTCCTGCTCATTTCCTTCGACGATAGCGATAAGGAAGTTGTCAAGGCAGCTTGGACAGCACTCAGTGGGCTCACGTCTCACATGCGCAAAGAGGAAATGGAAGTCCTCACTATTCCAACACGCCAGGTCCTACGACAAGTGGGTGTGCCTGGAGCCGATCTGCCAGGTTTCAGCTTGCCGAAGGGTATCACTGCCATTCTGCCAATCTTCTTGCAGGGTCTTCTCAACGGCAATGTGGAACAGCGTACGCAAGCAGCTCTGGCCATTGGCGATATTATCGACCGTACCAATGCAAACTCCCTGAAGCTTTTCGTTACTCAAATCACTGGTCCTTTGATCAGAGTGGTTTCTGAACGTTCAGTGGATATCAAATGTAGGTTGATATGAGGCTTGCTTTCTGTATCGTTCATAGGACTGACCAGGACTAGGTGCTATCTTCTTCACACTTAACAAGCTTCTTGAGAAGATCCCGATGGCAGTCAAGCCATTCCTGCCTCAGCTGCAACGTACGTTTGCGCGAGGTCTAGCCGATTCTACCAGTGAGACACTGCGCAACAGGGCTGCCAAGGGTCTTGGAATCTTGATTACCTTGACTCCAAGGGTGGATCCCCTCATTGCAGGTAGGTCAATTAGATTGTGCGATAATTTGATAGCAGCCTTGATACTAATCCTTGACCAGAATTGATTACGGGTACAAAGACAGATGATATGGGCGTCAAGAATGCGATGATGAAGGCACTACAAGAAGTCGTCGGCAAAGCTGGCGCGAATATGAGCGAGGCTTCGAAGAATGCTATCCTTGCACTCATTGACGATGATGCCAGCGATCAGACCGGTAAGTTGAGATTTAAGCCTGACCAGGTCAACGTTGCAGAGCTGACTATTCAGTAGATGGTGTTGCTATTACGAATGCCAAATTGCTTGGTGCGCTGGTGAAGGTCCTTCCCGCGTCTACCGCCAGCCCACTGATCAAGTAGGTCTATCGTACTATACCGTTCAACTTTAGGAGCAGTGCTGACATGGTAATTCAAGGAACCGTGTGCTCACAAGCCATATGACACACGCATCCATTCTAGGCCTGAACGCCTTGCTGGTTGACTCACCGTCGTCCCTGACTGAGACTTACGCTGCCGAGACTCAATCGATCATATGTCAGGGCGTCTCGAACAAGGATGTAAGTTACTCACTGGCCTTTCAAGCTTCGTGGTTCTGATTTCTGTGACAGCCTTTCATTGCCGAGAACAGCGTCCTCGCTGCTGGGAAGTTCCTTTTGATCGAGGATGAGAGTCGCAATTTCGAGACAAACAAGGCCATCTTTGAAGCACTAGCGCCCTGCATACAGGCGGGCGTGCCTCCTGATGTTCGCCGTCTCACTTTGGTGGTCTTGAGAACGGTGAGCCGACTTCACCCCGAACTGACCCGGCCTCATCTGGCTCTGCTTGCACCACCGATTTTCAGCTGTGTTCGTGATGTCATTATTCCCATCAAGCTCGCTGCTGAAGCTGCGTTCCTGTCACTCTTCTCGGTTGAGGAATCTGAAAGTGCTGTTTTCGACAAGTATATGGCTGGACCCGGGGCTGAACTTCCCCCTGGACCTAAGCGGAGTATGTCGGACTACTTCAAGCGAGTTGCGCTACGTCTCGCCGGCCAGGCTAGAGAACGCAAGGAGGCTGAAGGTGGACAGGGAGGACTGGGTCTGTCCAATGACGAAGCTGAGGATGAGAAGGAACTGTGGAGCGTCGGAAAGGTCGATCTTGGGGAAGGCTCATTTGCTGATGAGTAGTTGAGCGCGGTTTACTTTCTACAAACGTTGGCATGAGCGAGATCTATACCCTCTTCATTCGAGTGTATAGTATAGAGCAGACTAGATTACAAAAGTAGCGAATGATATGAACGATGATTTTCTTTCTCCCTCGTTGAACCCTCGCTTAAGGAGTACTCACTCATACAGCGATGTCGAAGAGGGTCACGTGATCTATCCGGGAGAGCCCGTACATGACGTGCGAATACAAGGAGATTCGAGAAAAAGTCATCAATCCGAATAAGCCTTTCAGGCCTTTTCAATGTGATCCAGAATACCATGTTCCAGATATCTTTCCAGTCAGATACCATCGTATCATAGGCTGCGGGACGTTGAGGCTCAATCCGCTTCCCCGGTCGGGACAAGCGTCCGGGGCACAAACCCTAAGGTGGACCCTCTCGCTTAGCAGCACAGTCGCTTAGCTAATCAACCGCGCGTATCTCAAACTCCTCACCTGGGAATTCTACCCGTCGACGAGTGCAACGAACATCATCCGCCAACGACCGTCGATACGCCGACATCAAGATGTGAGTTCCATCTTCATAATCTGATATTGTCCTTTCATGGGGAGATACTGTCATTTGATGGAATTTTTTCCCTCGATCAGCGCTTGAAAATGGCCCATTTCCGGGAAATTTCTCTCACTGCTGGGGACTCTCCCCTCGACCGGTTCTGTACAACAGAAAGGCTGACCGTGTGGTTTCTCGCTTTACAGGGTCAACCTTCGCACCCAGAAGCGCCTCGCCGCCTCCGTGGTGGGCTGCGGCAAGCGCAAGATTTGGCTCGATCCCAATGAGATGAATGAGATCTCCAACGCCAACTCCCGCCAGACTATCCGCAAGCTCGTCAGCGATGGCCTCATCATCCGCAAGCCCGTCACCATGCACTCCCGCGCCCGTGCCCGTGAGCTCAACGCTGCCCGCAGAATCGGCAGACACCGCGGTCTGGGTAAGCGTAAGGGTACCAAGGACGCTCGTATGCCCAGGTATGCACACTCTGCCTCTGTCAACGGTTGAGGAGGATCTTCGATCGGTTGCCACACTTCCTGCCAGTCATCTGGGGGGAAGAGAATGAAGCAAAGAGCCTTTACTGATGGACGTCTGCGTATTACAGCCAGCTCCTCTGGATGCGCCGCATGCGTGTTCTCCGTCGCCTCCTCGTCCGCTACCGTGCCGCCGGCAAGATCGACAAGCACCTTTACCACGAGCTCTACCACCTGAGCAAGGGTAACACCTTCAAGCACAAGCGCGCTCTGATTGAGCACGTAAGTCTTCCTCTCAATTCATGTCCTTCTCAGTGGGATGCAAGATAGCGACTACGGGGCGAATAGAGATAAAGAGGCTGACAAATTGTTTTTCGACCCCTACAGATCCAGAAGGCCAAGGCTGAGAGACAGCGTGAGCGCCTGCTCAAGGAAGAGATGGACGCCAAGCGTGCCAAGAACAAGGCCCTCCGTGAGAGACGACAGGAGCGTATCGAGGCCAAGCGTAACGCTCTGGCCGGCGAGGAGCAACAGGAGTAAACCAAAAAAGCCATCTGACTTTTTTTGGCGGTGCGGAGGTTGAACTGGGGGGAAATCCAATAGCCAACGGGAATCAGGTCGGCCATGTTTGTTTTATGTCTCTCAGGTCTGGGCTCGGTGGTTTGATTCTCTGTCCGGGACAATTGATCAGGGGAAACCTGGAAGATATTTGATACCTGGAATCGGGAAGCAGTAAAATGCTATTCCTCTTTTTTCTCTCCCAAGGAAAAAGAGCAAAGAATGAGAGAGAGAAACAAAAAAGGAAAACAAAGCTTTCTTTTTCTTCATTTAAAGGAAAACAAATGGCATGGCGCTTTTGTGTGATATGAGTCTGAAATTCTTTTTTCTCTTTTTTACCACTGCTCTACGGAGTCCTCTTTCTCTCTCCATCATCATATCGCATCCAACTGCTCCCCTGCATTCTGACCAGAAGACTGTCCGGATGTCCCTGATTCCCTTCTCCCCATACCCTTCGGTTCAGCCTCAGTCCGATCAAAGCTGTTTATCTAATGTCGTAACGTTACCTGAATATCAGATTCCCGGTTCGGTCTACTATACTACTCTTGAGACGTCTGAGATAAAGCTGGTGTTTATTCGTCTGTAGTATCATCACGTATCCCTTACCCCGTATCCCATATCGCGACCATCCAAATTCTTTTCTTCTATCTAGGTGGTCGGGTCTCTGTGGTTTCCGCGTAGCCTTATAAAACCCTTACCTTCCTGTACCGTTGTGTAAATTGGTAGCTGTGGGGTTTCACATTTACTTAATTATTATATCGTATGAAATGTAAGAGTTGGAAGTGGTTCAATTCGATATTTGCAGCATTGGAAAGTTAAGCTGGGTTGTCTGTGGAGTTGCGGCGAATATATATTTCTGAGGTGGACTCAAAAAGTTCATTGCGGAGCGAAGTGTAGCATGTCTTGTATAAATAAGGTATGAGCCAGGAGTCACGGCCTCGGCCTCTCGAACTACATGTTTTTAAGAGGTGCATAGCGACTGCAATCGCTGCAATGTATAACAATGGAGATTAAGTTTAACCGATGTACATTTACATCATGATAATACAATCCTCTGAAATGATACCTACTAGAATCAAAGATGATGTACAAAAGCAAGAAATCTCTGCAGCCCTGCTCGTCCTGTAGATAACATTCGTGTCTCATGTCACGTATCGCATTGACTGGGCTCGAGCACTTGAGTGCTCGCGCCAATCAACCCCTGGCAAGTGGGCCAGAGCTGCGCTTGTGTATCGCGTTTGGAGGGACTTCCAGGTCAAACGGGTCGCTCCGGGTACTGACTCTTGTCACGGAATCATTTGGTCCAGGTGGCCCGAGATCCGATATGGATATCGGATAGCTCGCTCTTTGCACGCTACTGCCAAAGCTACTTCGCCCTGGGAGAATGATGGTACTTCCTAGACTGCGTTCACTGCTGTAAATGGAGTGCTGGTCCTGGTTTATTTGGATGCCTGGCGAGATTGGTTTCTCGTATGAAGGCGAATGTGGCCCTGCGAGAGTTGAAGCCTCGGGACAAAAAGGTTTGTCGCCTGGTGTCGAGTGAACTTGAGTTCCACCAATAGCGTCGCGTATGCGTGGCCGCATGTTAAGAGATACGTCTGATGGGTTTGGATTGGGCTGCGAGAGATGAGATGATCCCTTTCTGACATGAGCATAACCCATGTTCGGACCCGGCACATGGTCTGGAGCAGAAGGAGCATCCGAAAGAGATGATGTTCTGGATAAAAAGGCATGCTGCGAGCTTGCCCAGGAGTCTGCAGAGTGCCGACCATCGCGCAGCAGTTTCTCGCTCCCGCCGAGACTTCGACCGTCGCGCGGTTTTCGCCGTCTATAACGATAAATCAGAAAGCACATGAGGAGTATGACGGCGATCAAGCCCACAGTACCGAAGATGCTGCCCAAAATCGTACGAAGTGTATGACGGTTGCGCACGTCTTCAGACCCGTGATCCGAAAAGTTCTGCAGAGGGTTCGTTGCGGAAGGAAATGCTGCGGTAACTGTATTCGATGTGGGTGTCTCGACCATAAACCCGGTCTCTGCCGTAGGAGTCGTCACGACTTCCGATCTCGACGGTGTAGTCGACAGCTCAGTCGACGAGAGGCCAGATGTCTGATTATAAGAGGTAAGAGATGGGATGGATTTGCGAATGTCTGTGTTGCTCTCGTGATCTGGTGGAGAGTCTGAGAGAGAGGAAGTAGTTGGGAGGGGGGGTAATTGGACATCTGAAGGAGCGACGACGATATGGGATGATAGCGACACTGCATGGGCGGTTTCCGTACTGGATGGTAGAGTGGTCGTCACGGGTTCTGGGCCTTGTACTGAGACTGGCAGGAATGGTGTAGGCTCTGGCACGACGGCAGGCAATGTTGCCGCTGCAATTGAACTTCTGGGCACTTTGGTACATCTCAAGCCCTGATATAAGATGATAGAAGGACTGGACATCGACATTGCGCCAAGCCCACAGGCTGGACGGATGCGACGGTCGCTCTGCTAGAATGGAAGGCTAAGAGCGGTAATTGCTGGCATGCATGAATCGATAGCGCTGAAATGATGAATGAAGACCAGTGTGATAGAGTCACGGCGCGTAGAATGCCAACAGCGACCAGAGGTCAACAAATCAAAAGAACAGTGTAGTGACTCTAGTCCAGAGCGAGAGAAGGAATGTATAGGAAATGTAAATGCGCTATATGTTCATGATTGACGTTTCACTATGCCCCGTGCCAGGAGACGAACGCATTGGTCATAGCAGTCCGGACTCGGAGGGGCTGCATTCGCGTTGTGCCCTGCTGTTTCAGGATTCAACAGTGAAGCACAGGTGGTACACGGAAGTTCAGCGTAGCATTCTAGCCCACTTCGTAGTATATAGATCGATTCCGAGTAGATTGATATTATGAGCTCACGAAAGGACGGAGAACAGCAGTCAATACCAAAAGCCTGGAAAATAAGGGTTCGCTCAGCTCAACCGCGTGTATTTGGTATCGACCGGGCGGCTTATGGGAGCGAACAGCGACGAGGATAGAGTTGAGAGGAACCGAGATCTAGTCTAGGGCTTATTAGTTATTAGTAGTTCGTAGTACCCAAGACGGGAGAGTTCAATTGAAGAACGACCTAAGCAGGGGATAAGTGGTCCCTGACTCGAGGAAATTCATCCGGAAGAGATTGAGTGAGACAGAGTTCAACAAGCATGTCCAATCCTATGAGGAACTATGCAGTGATCACTGTGACCATAAATTGGTAGGGCATTAGTCTGTCGCATGGGATGGAAGCGAGAGGCCCCTCCCCAGCCCCTCACACGACGCTCAGTCGCTGGAGATTCGTATCTTCATTTAACCATGATTCAAGGGAGAGTAGCAGCTGCAGAAGGGAAGTGGTTTCATAGCATGTTGGGGTCCTCTTCCTGAAGACCGAGGGACTAGACCGAACCCCATTAAAATTGGCGAACATGATGAGCAAGAACTCCTGCTGCCGATCCATTGAGCCATGATCAATCAAGCGATGGACGTTTCACTTGTTGAAGCCGGGGAACTTTACCTACACGGAGAAAATGACATATTTCCTGATTGGGCCATAAACATTAGTTGTTTACTAGTCTGTGTGTGGATTAGTTTCTCTTTACGCATCATGTGATTTAGTCAACGGTCCGACTATCATCCTATATGACAGCCTCAGGCAGCTTTGGTGCGTTGGCTTGTCATCTGTACTTCGTATGAAGCAAGCGTACCTAGGTACCCTGAGTGGCGGGCGAAATAACATAAACTGTGTTATTCTCGTGAATCACTCTACATACCTACTTTGTACATGTTAAAAATATCATTTCTTCCCAAGGCATAAATAACACTGTGTGCTCCTGCCCCTCAAAGCGGGGCAGTCGATACATCCCCAGGTGGAAGCCATACGGAGTAGAGCACTTGCAACCTGATGTGGAGAGGCGGTCAATATATAGGGGTTATGAATGGTCACATACAATTGCATAGTATCTACTAGATGTCTCTCTAAGTCTGCTGGATTAGTGACTGTTATAAAGCGCGTGAGAGGGCTCAAAAGTACCCCTGGTACCTCTATCAAGTACGGAGTCTGGATGCCATATCTCAGAGGTATCATATACTGACTTCCTTCTCTACCGGTCACATTGATGGCTCGCTCGCTTCCAATCTCGAGAATGGTGATAATAAAAGAAGGATAATAACGGTCGAAAGCATGAACTAATGCTGATGCTAATTCGACCCACCAAGGACAAAGATTATCACTTCCCCTCTTGAGTCCTGACAGTGGCTTGTTTTCGTACCTTTTTCTTCCTTGGCCCAGTTGGACATGCTACTAATTCCGCTCTCTCCGCAACCACAATCCAACTTCGACAACAATCATTCTTGCGATTCCCCTTATCGTTGTGTTGTGTGGTGGATCTCAACATCAACCACCTCAGTCAATGAACTGACTGTCACCGAAAGAATTCCATCATTGATTTCGGTCATGGTAATTCTACTCGGTCAATTGAAGCTGCCGCATTTTCGTTCGATATCCCGCGATATTCCCATATACAGAGGAGAGCATGTGATTGATTCTTCATCTTGATCATTATCTTCTCTTCTAAATACTTGGATACAATCTGTCTTGTTGGAGCTGGATATTCACACGTCCCCTTGACAGGAAATACCAAGCGCAGGCCTGACCATTATGATGATCGGTTGGACCGGTGGGTTGGGTAAGATTTCCCCTCACCAGTTGTCACACAGAAATCGGTGTGGTATATTCAAGTATACCTTATGATAAAAGCTTCATCGATGAATGCCGCCATGACAATGGTGCCGTCAATGCTCAAAACCAATGGCTGCTATGTCTGCGTGTCAAGCAATCACTACATTCTGAGCTCCCTGACTTTGGGCTTCGGCATTGCTTGAATGCATAGACTCTCCTGACATATAATAACTGGCATTGACCATAGTGCTAATGACGCATAGGGTTGCCCACGATAGGCTCGCCGCCTGAACAAGAAAAACCACCCCCGCCGCCTCCAACAAAAATCGACTTTCCAGTCTATGACCTGTTAGATGTCCCGGACAACGCATCGGAATCGTCTCTAAGGGAGATAGCCGACCTTCTAGCGTCGATCCGCCAGCCGCAGGACCTCTCGACAGAGAAGTTGAAAGCCTTCAATCTCAGAATGGAAACAAATATTACTGCAGATCGCATTGTCCCCCAGGGCTCAAAACTCTTTCCTCCGCTCCCTTGGGAGGCTCGTATCTGTAATGAGACCGAAGATGGCGAGCCGATTTTGATGGACAATGGTAACCCATACCCCGCGGCGGACCGATTCGAGATCCTTAAGAAGGAACTGCTCTTGGATAATGATGATGCTTTCCGAGAAGTTACACGGCTACCGCCCAAGGAGGGCCGTCAGCGGGTTCGAGTGGCTAATGCACGAAAATTTTGGATGGGGCTGGAGCGAATGTCGCAGTGGTGGGATTCAAGCCTGGACAATTACTTCGAGCGCCCCGCCACTCCTGAAGTAGCGTCCGACGAAGACAAGATGCAGACAGATGGCGAACCGCAGCCGTCAGAGCTACAGGACTCAACAACTACGCCAATGGAGTTCGACAACCCACCAACGACACAGACCGTCGACGAACCGTCGTCGGACCGGGAAGAGGGGCAGCAACCGACTGTTCAAAGATATACCGGCCGCCGGATAGGTAGCGGACAGGAAATGCCAGAGGATGTTCGGGAGGAGACGGTGCGAGCGCTGGCTGAGATGGCCGCCTGGCCATTTGGTTGCCAAGTAACTGTCCCGATGCTCCCACCGCGACTCACCGTCAAGAAAATCCTCTTCCCCATCCGACAGTCCTTCCAGGCTGCGCGATCGCCCAAAGACCGCCAATTGGCCCGTAGCGGTGTCATGGAAGGCCCTGTCTTTGTTGCCCAATGCAGGCCGGAGACCTCGTTCCGAGGACCTGAAGACGCACCAGGGTCCGGCGTTGGGGAGGTATGCGACCTGTTTCGGGAGCTCGGTGCCATGCTTTTGGCCGCGCAGGAACGCGCGAGGCAAGGGACGACGGAAGTGAAAGCCGGTGAGGGCAAGTGGTGGGCAACCAAACCCCGATGGGGCGGAGCGACCCAGGACACGCAGGACAACAGCAATTGCGAGGACCAGCCTGCGAGGGATGGCAATGACCGCAAGCGCTCTAAGTACGAGCATCCATTTCTCGCATCCCGTCGCGCGGGCTCCGGGCGGAAGCTTAGCAATGCCGAGAAGTGGAAGATTGTGCAGCCAGGGCCAAGTCTTTGGGACAGACGGATGAGGTACATTCAGATTGGGAAAGACAAGGACAGTCCATTCGACGATGTATGCTGGATCACCAATGGCATGTGCGAACTTATGCTAATCCTGTCCTAGATCTATATGCTCTCCTCCATCAATCATCACGTTGCCATTCTTCACCTTCGAATCCACCGTCGGTATCTGGACCTACTCACAACAGGCGAGAGTGACTATCCCCCGGAGACCGACACGCTTGATCAGCCCTGGCAGGTTCTCAAGCTTCGGCGAACGAAATGGTATGACTTGTTTGACGCGCAGGAACGCCTCGAGGTGTTTCAGGGCTTGTGGACAATGTTCCACTATCTTTTGCGCAGGCAATGACCGTCTATGACCAGCCCTTAGACTTACTTCTAGCGAGAATCCAGATGCGAGTTGAGCATCACCACATTTACCAGTATGCGAACACGATATCTACATAGAGCACACGCGTTCATCCTCCTTCTGCATGTTTAGATGAAATCAAATCAAGCTAATTAACCTGACGCAAGGGAGGACCGAGAGACCATCAACCACAATATATCTGCAAGTCATATTCCCTTACATATGGTATACCATAGATGAAGGTTGCGTGCAGTACGCAGTCATTCCAAATATCTCCTGTACTCAACACATGTAGAGATATAGACAGTGCAGTCAGCTATGTCTATGTGCAGCTTTGCAGCACACAACTTGTACTTGCTCTACGTCCTGCCGGAGCAAGGAAGTAATGATTGGCATGACTGCGGCTATGATTAAAATCCCCCCTGAAGTCGAATAGGAGCACGCAGGGCCACCCCCCTCGAACCCGAACCAAAGACAGACGAAGCCATGTGGTCGCCCCAGCACACCACACTCACATCACATTCGTGATTGTGCAGAATATTCGAATTCAATACCCAGACACTCAAGACCCAAGTCTTGAGAGTCGAGACTTGAGATTACAATCCCTGAATATGATATCATGCCTCTCCGGGATTCTCCAAATCAGTCACCATGCAGGAAAAAGTGAGGCCCCGACGATCATCGCCTTCGCCTCGGTTTCTCGTGTCCGGCGTCTATCTTGGTCCTATAGTTGCAATTGCGTGGCTTGAGCTATCCAACCTAAGGAGGGGGAAATGATATCCGGTCCGATCACATTGGAGTGTTTTATGTC